GAAGAAAAGGATTGTCGAAGAGGCTGTGTGAAATAGGGATTCATTTATTTAAAGCATTGTTCTGTGACATTTCATCACTTCCAGCCATTTTGTGCACAAATTACCTCACGCCTTATCTGACATTTGTTTATTTGAGGAAAGAATAACAGCAGTGATGAGTTTTACTCCCAGACATGACAAGAGTGTGTCCCCTGAGTTAAGGCACTCCTGCCAAGGTCTTTCCCTTGCTGGAGTGGCCCAGAACAGTTCCTGCCAGGGAAACTTGTCCTTGGAGCCATCCTGCACACTGATGTCTGTTCCCTGGGGACACACACATCCCAATTACTGAGGCTGCCTCGGGCTGTCTGCCAGGCTCACCAGCAGCATTTTACTTGGATTTGTTACCTCTGGGGCAATGACCTGTTCTGGGCTTTTCCAGCATGCACAAGACATCTTTACACTAAACAAACTTCAACAAAAAGAGTAAATGACTTGCCCAGTCCCCAAGATTTTGACTAATATCAACAATATAATAAAAACCAACAATTTTTCTCAACCAGGACACGTAAGGGGGCACTCTAGCCATACTTACTGCTGTGGGAATGTAAATGAAGAGGGAGTAGCCATATACACACACTATCTCCAGGAACGAGTAAGAGACAATGTTCATAACTTTGCTGTTCCTCCACATCAGGAATCCCCAGAGAGCAAGGGGAACAAGCCAAGCATATGCATAAATCGTTGTTGCTGCTATGGACACTGGAAATACACCAAAAGGTTTAATGTCCTGCTTAGAATCCAGACAGAATCAAAGATGTAGAAGCATTCAGCCTGAAAACTAGAAACATACCTGTGAAGTTACTTTCAAAACAAAGTCTGAATTATTAACAAACAAAGAACTTTGCATTTACATTTAGTTTACACCCACTACTTTGCCAGCACTTGAACTTAGTTTAAAAGTAAAACTTGAGAAAGTATTCCCTTCATATTTTCAATTTATTACCCCTGTGCACAAAATGCTGTTGGTTACAGTATGAAAGGAAGAGCTATGGAGGAAAGAAAAGCTTAGTTAAAAAGTACACTATGGATGTTGGAAACAAACAGAAGCTCTGTTCCTTTTCAGCAGCCTTCTTTGTAATACAAAGACAGATATAGACAAACTGCCTCCTCACTCTTGAGTTCTTTAGGGCACAGATCAGTTGAGCATCTTTAGATTATTTTGGAGTTTACCAGACAGTAACAATTTCCAGCCTTCAGTAGGTGATATGGGTAATTAATTTAGTAATTTTCTGCCTGAGGTCTGCAGGTTCCTAGGAGGCCACAGATCCAGAAAGGCACCTACAAAAGCACCATTGTAGCCAGTGCTGGGCTTTCACTCTGTACAAGGGGACATCCACTAAGGCTAGAAAAATAACTGCTCTAACTACTCCTGCTTGCTCTACTAAAACCCTGTACTAATTTATGCCAGTCACCGTTCACTTTAAGGACTTGTTTCACATCTCTAAAAATTTAAAGACAGCAGTAAATCAAAAGACTCTGCTGAATCAAAGCTGTGACCTGTTTACTTCATTAGCACATAAAAAAACAAAACCAAAACCAAACAAACATCCAAAACCAAAAATCCAAACCCACAAACCTTACAAACCTTTTCTGAACTCGGGCACATAGTGGTATGTGGGTTTGCCCAGATGGATGAAGAAATTCGAGAGATTGCCACTAACAGCAATGGTGAAGACAAGTGTGGCACATATCCAAAACGGACCTGAAAAGAGAACAAGTTCAATCATACCTCTTCCGCTCTCTTGCTTTTCAAGGCTAGCAAGTAAAAAGAAATACAAACTCGAAATATTTAGCACAGAAAATAACACCTCATACATACCATAAAGGTCAGGATTGCTGCGGATGTACAGCCTTACAAAGTTCTTCCCTGGCACTGGGAACACTGAACCTTTGATTCGGTCCAGGACCTATAAAACATACAGACTTGTCTGACTAAAAATACAAGAAAGAAAAAAACCTCAGTGGCTAAGGCAGAGTTCAGACAAGGTCTCCTCTGGAACAGTGTATTAACCTGGTATGTGTCCACATCGAAGAAGGTCTGGTAGTACTCAAATGTCCAGAAAGGGGCACTTTTCTTCTGTCCTGCAAGCAGCTGTATAGTGGGAAAGGCAACATGGAAAATGTTACAAGCAAGCAATTTATGCATTACTAGTTCACTTACACAGTAGTTACATGATTTCTGTACCCAAACAAAAACCAAATTCAACAGGGTGTTGCTTCCTATGAATTATTTAATGGTTTCCCTTTCCCTATTTAATACTTGTCAGCAACTAGTCTCTTATCTCCCTGCAAGCAGAATCTGGCCTGGGGTTCTAAAGAACAGCCTGATGCCACCTTCTGCTACATCATTTGTAACACATGCCCTAATCAGCATCACAAGGGACCTTAAAGCTCATGTCATTTCAACCCCCTGCATGCATCTTCCACTAAACCAGGTTGCTCCAAGCCCCATCCAACCTGGCTTTGAACACTTCCAGGGATGGGGTAGCCACAGTTTCTCTGAGCAACCTGTGCCAGGAACTCACCACCCTCCCAGGGAAAAATTTCTCTCTAATATCTAATCCAAACCTACTGCCAGTTTGAATCCATTCTCCCTTGTCCTGTCACTACGTGTTCTTGTAAAAAGTCCCTCTCCATCCCTCTTGCAGGACTGACTATTACCTCTGTTTTATCGGAGTCGTCGGTCCCCAGTAACTCATCATCCTCTTCCCTCCCTGGCTCCTGCTGGCGGCTGTGCTGGTTCTTGGGGATTTCGACTGGCTCATCAATGCTTATGGTGGTGGCATCAGGATTTGCTGCAAGCAAATTAGCTGCATCGTCAAATTCTGCAAACAAGTACATTACAAGACAGGCGATGATCGATCAAGATACTAAAATTTCTGTTCTCATGGCTCAAAACCCCACATTAGGACCCTGAGACAGGATAATCACTAGCTTAGGTAAGTCAGATATGATCTGTTTCTCAAAGCCCAAACTGATACAGATCAAGTTCAACATTTACTTAGTCAATGAAGTGTGAGGCTGCCTTCCCTGCCAATCTGCCTGCAGGATGACACACTGGCACCACCGGAGCCTGCCTTCCCTCCCTGCTATCAGCTCCCTGCAAGGGCAGGGGGAAGCTGTGTCATTTTAATATTCTCCAAAAACTGACATGAATTTTTCTATCAACGGTTAAGGAAGTCCAAAACCACGGCCCTTCCCAGGTTACAGAGTGCTCTACCCGTTTCCAGCTTTCACTTTTTACCACGAAGGATATCTATCAGTCAGTGATGCCAGTCAACCCAGTTACAATTTTTAGCTCGCCAGCAGCACAATTCCACCCCAGAAAACTCACCACCTGCAAAACTCCCCAGGGCGCTTCTACTCAGAGAACGCCCAGAATCGCTCCCAAAGCCTCCAGCGCCAGGCGGCTCCCCCAGCCGGGCCCCAACCCCGCGCCCGCACCTGCGACACCGCCTTTACCTTGGAATTTGAGGTCGTCCGCCGCCGCCATTCATCTGCCTGCGTGGGGATCCGCTCCCCGGGGCTCGACCCTCCTGCAAGGGCACAGAGGCAGCGCTGGGCCGGGCGAGTCCCGCGCCCTGCCCTGTGCCGGCGCCGTTGTCACCGCGGCCGCGCCCCCACGCTGCCCCCGCCCGCCCATGCCCCCCGCGCCCCCCGGCCCGGGGCACCCCCACACCGGGTCCACCCCGCAGCCCCACACCGGGGCAGCCCCGGCATCCCCCACGTCCCCCGGCCGGGGCACCCCCGCACCTCCGCCAGACCCCGCACCGGCCCCGCTCCGCGCCCTTAAAGGAGCCGCGGCCGCCGCTCCGCGCTGGCCAATCAGCGGCCCCGCCGGGCCCCTCCGCGCCCCCGCCCCTCGGAGCGCAACGGACCCGTCGCGGCAGCGCCCGGTGCCGGCCAATCAGAGCCCGTGCGGCACTTCCGGGTGCGCCTCCGGCCGCCCCCTTAAAGGGCCCGCGCGTGGCGACGTCTGAATCTGTGAGCTCGTACACGGGGTGCGCGTAATCAGATGTTTGTTCAGTCTGTTACAAGTGGACATCACATACTGGGATAATTTACATTTTTATCATAGAATCACAGAGTGGTTTGCGTGGGAAGGGACCTTAAAACTCATCCAGTTGCAAATCCTCTGCCATGGGCAGGGACACCTTCCACTAGACCAGGTTGCTCAGAGCCCCATCCAGCCTGGCCTTGAACACTTCCAGGGATGAGGCAGCCACAGCTTCTCTGGGCAACCTGTGCCAGGAACTCATCACCCTCATGGGAAAGAATTTTTTCCTAATATCTAATCTAAACCTGCTGTCGGGGGAATCCATCCTCCCTTGTCCTGTCACTCCAGGCAGTAAACAGTCTCTCTCCATCTTTCTTGTAGGCTCCTTCGGATACTGGAAGGCCTCAATTATGTCACCCCAAAGCCTTCTCTTCTCCAGGCTCAACAATCCCAGTTCTCTCAGCCTTTCCTTATGGCAGAGGTGCACCATCGCTCTCATCACCTTGGTGGCCTCTTCTGGACTCACTCCAACAGCTCCATGTCTTTCCTGAGCTGGGGACCCCAGAACTGGATATTATATATATGGGGGTATATCTACTTTTTTTTATACTTCAAGCCCCAAAGTGTCAAACACTGGTGTGTGGTGGAGCCCCAGAGCAGGCAGAGCAGGAGGAACTGTTTGCACAGCATCTGCATCACCCCAAGGCCATGAGCATCAGCATCTTAGTCTTTAGTCCGGGATTCAGGGCGAATATCCTGATTAAACGCCTTTCAGTAGTAAAATACACTACACATTTGTGAATAAACCTCACAACTCTGCGTGAGCACAACACATCCACCCTTTGCTGCAAATGATGCCTTTGGTGCAGCTGGAGGGAGCACCGCTGGCGGGCTCCTCCCTCATGCAGAGGCTGAAGTGCACAGAGTGTGCAAGGGAAGGCAGAAATTCAACTAAACACGTGAACATTTTCCTCCCCCTCCACCTTTGCCCCTGTCTCTGCTGTGTTCCCATCGAGAGCAGCCAGATCTTCTCCAACACAATGTTCAGCATCAAGGTGTTCCTACAGAAAACCCTGATTCTTCTGCAGGTTACTCTGGCTGTTGTTGTTGGCAAAACACTGATGATACTGTTTCCCAATGCCATGAAAAGATACATCCTAAAACTGGGTGAAAAGAGCAGAATGAACAAGAATCCAAAGTTCAGCTATGAAAACTGGGGTCCGACTTTTTTCAGCTTCAAGTATTTGCTCTTTGTGCTGAAGGTGAAGTGGAAGAGGCTGGAAGATGAAGCCTTCGAGGGACACCCTGCTCCCAACACGCCAGTGGTGACCCTGAATGGGGAAGTTCGTCACCTCTTGGATTTCATGGGAGGTCAGTAATTGAGCCATGTCAGATGGGTTTGGTATGCTGAGACCATAAATGAGGGATACTGAGGGAACAGGGACAGGCATCTGGCACCAGAACCTTTTGGTACTTGTGAACCTTTTGCAAGAGCTGACTTTGCCTGGAAACACCTTTTACTGAAAACCAAGATAATAATTTGTTTTAGGGAGAGAAGGCCCAGAACTGAACCATGTGCAGTGATTCAGGAGTGTTGGCTGTTCCCTGTTGGTACAGAAAATCCCACACCAGCTCCCTCAGCCAGTCTAAACCCTAGAAAGCACAGGGTGGGTTTTTCCAGATCCAAGGTGGCTGGAAATAAAAGCAGAAGTAGCTGCTTTGTACTTTGTCCGCTGCCTCCCACTGAGATCTCTGTAGAATGTGGAATTAATCATTAAGCTGCAGCCTCCATCCCCATGGGAGGGATTACATCCTTCTCTCTCTGCTTTTCTAATTATATACAGATATTTATGTAGAAAATGAGATGCAAGTTTGGAAAGGAATACACAGCATCTACAGGAAGGTACACTTCTATTAAATTCTTCAGGATGTGAATCTATGTTAGCAGCCACTTTTGAAGTTAAACCCAGCCAGAAGGAAGGTCTTGAACAAATTTCATGTAATTTAGCATAACCAGACTAAAAGAGCTGCTTAAAAATCCTGCAAGTTCTCTTAAATCAAGGACTTGCAAACAGATGTCAACACCTGTGGCACATACTGTCAATTTGTAAGCAACTGCAGACACTTTTGCCAGTGGCTCGTGTAACATTAGTTTAATAAATAATATATAACCAGGGTTCTGTTTGGACAGGAAATTACAGAAATACATTGAAAGCATTAAAGCCTGTGATGCATCACTGAAAAGTCTGCAGCTTCCCCTCAGCTCAGCTTGAAGTGACACCTCTGAAAAAAATCAGGACATGTCCAACAGGTCCAGGAAAAGGCACTAGGGTACTGTGCTTCATGGCCATCCCTGAACCACTATCCTTGGAAAACCTTGCAGATGGGCCATGTTTAGTATTGGTGAAGTTGCTCTGCACTAAGGATCTTAAGGAGGCTGTGCTACACGCTCTATGCCAGTTCCCTATCCCAAAACATTGGCTCTTGTGATGAGGAAAAGAGAAGCTGGAAAGGGTCCCCTCAGTTGAACTCATTGCTGGATGCAGCACAGGTCAGAGCCAAGGAAAAGAAAGCATCTTTATGCCTTTTTTATGTAGATGCAGACATTGTGCTGCTGATTTGAATGACCAAAGAAGGTTATGGGATAAGTGTTGTCCAGGAATCTCTGTGTATGCATTTAATTCTGCCCTTCCTCCCTTCCTGATTTAACCACAAAATGTCCTTTTCTTTTTTCCCCCAGATAACCGTCCTTTAATCCTGAATTTTGGAAGTTGCACCTGACCTTCATTTATGCTAAAATTTGATGAGTTCAACAAGCTCATCAAAGATTTTGGCTCAGTAGCAGATTTCCTTATCATCTACATTGAGGAAGCTCATGCAGTAGGTACAGCACAAATGGCACAGCTGATGCCGAAAGCAGCTTCATATGTGTCATTCCCTTTAGGAAGAAAATGTGTTAGAGCAAAGGAGGGAGCTTCAAATGGGAAAAATACCTTCCTCAAATCAGAAGTGGCAACACCACATCTAGGCACGAGTTTGTGTCTGTAATTCTCCAAAGCTTCTACTCACACACTTTACACAGTTACTCCTGCTGAACACTCAGCTCTGTGAAGGACATAGTTAACACCTTTACAAAACTTCCTCTCAGTGTTAGTATAGCTCCTTTCAGAAAGTGGAAGAAAAGACATTTCGTAGAACAAAGGTTAGGTGTACAATGCCAGCATGTTATATGTTTAAAAAAAAAAAAAAAAGATTAATTTTAAACATGTTTCAAGAACAGGATGCAGACTCCAATAGGATATATGTTCCCCACCTTGTATCTTTCTAGGGTTGATTTATGTGGGAAAATTTCAGCTAAAAATATAAAAAATATTTCTGAATCCAGGGCAAGGGTAAAATAGAATTTGCTGAAATTAAAGAAAAAAAATAAATCTTGGGACCACTTATTTGAAAAGCTCTAGTGATCCCATACTCTGAGGTGGGCTTTCATTTCATGGCAAGCTTTGGTGTTAGGAGTAAACTGCAGGATTTTTTAACCCAGTTTTGGGATATGACACACACAGAGTACATCTCTGCCCTGCACCCATTCAAAGTGCTCTTTGCTAAATCCCTTTCTCATTTGTTTTAGATGGATGGGCTTTTAAAAACAATGTTGTTATTAAAAATCACAGAAGCCTTGAAGATCGAAAAATTGCAGCACAATTTCTTCAGAAAAATAATCCTTTATGTCCAGTGGTTTTAGACACTATGGAAAACCTGAGCAGCTCAAAATACGCTGCACTGCCAGAACGACTCTATCTGCTTCAAGGAGGGAAAGTCATCTACAAGGTAAAAAGTATCAGTAATAATGAGCACAATATGCTAAGATTTTTAAATTCCAAAATAATTTGAGACCACTTTACATTTATTTAATTCAGTTTGAGAGCTAAAAATTTCACAATTCACTGTAACTATGGAGAGAAATAAAGATCCATCAAAACCAGCCTGGGCCTTTAAAATGTACATATTTGATGTACACCTCAGTCTTGCTCAAATATTTATCTTTTGGCTCACTAGTAACCCTAGGTACATCTAAGCTGTGAGATCCAGGAACACTTTCCAGCTCCAGGATGCAGACATTGGCACCGTCTCAGTGACACAGCAGGGTGCAACCTGTGCATACACCATCTCCTGCAGTGCAAAGGGAGCCCAAGCACACCTGCCCACAGTTCTGGTGCAGCTGCTGTGCTCCAAAGGGCTTCTGCTCTGTCTGCTTGAATATCACTGTGTCATTTTATTGCCTTTGCAGGGAGGATTTGGGCCTTGGGATTACCACCCCCAGGAAATACGTGCCATCCTGGAAAAGCTGAAATAGAAAAAGAAGAGGATTCAGAGTAAAGACTGGATAAAGAAGTTCAAGAACAATTTCTCACAGACATAACTGTAAAGAAAAAAAAAGAATTTAAAAATAACAAGAGACAACAAGAAAAGGAATATTTTATGTACATCTAAAGAGCATCCATAATGGGGTTCATTATGTGTTTGTCCAGAGGCTTTCAAGTGTCATCATTACAACCCCAACTACTGCTCTGTAGTATCTTACTCCACTTATACCACAAGCAGTGCTGTGGTAGCTGGGTCCATTGAGCTCTCATACCAACACTTATATTTGTAAGGACTGGAAACCAACATTTACATGTGTAAGGACTATCCTGCAGGATAAACTTCAGGGGTGCTGACTCCTGCAAGAGTCTTCTGGCATTCAAAGCAACTGATTCAACATTACTAAGGTTCTCTTTCTCTTATATACATACACCTGTTCCTAAACACTTTTACTGACTTCAGGAGGCTTCTGAGCAAGGCAATCTCCATCTCCACTTGTTTCCATGAATATTTGTTATGGCGGCCACAGCATAAAGCACTGACGGCTGTGACCTGATTCTAGAAAATATTTATAGAAACAAGGGATTGATCTACAATTATTAAAAGTCTATCAGAGCACTTCATATGTCTTCACATTATTTCCTTCCCCACCCCGCCCCTCTCTCCCCCCCGGTTATTTCTCAGCTTTAGCAGTTTATATTCATCCTTGAGCTGATGAAAAAGTTACCAGTTTATGGACTTTGGAAGGACTTGCTAGACAGTAGGAAGTAGTACCTCCCATTTAAGTATTTAACGCTTTTTTTTTCTATTCAGAGTGCAAGGGAAACATTTTAATTCATGTATTAGGAAAGCCTGATAAAAATATACTAATTTAAATGGACTCAGTTCTGCTCAAGTGTTCTAAACTGACAGTTTAGGTTATAAAATAAGAAAGCTGTTACTACAATTAACAAGAGCATGGCATTGTGGTTGGACTTGATCTTAACAGTCTTTTTGAACCTAAATGATTTTATTCTATCCTATTCCATACATTACACCAGCAGGGAACACATACTACATCCATACCTTCAAAAAACCACTTTAATACAAAGTTCTAATAACAAACATTCTCCGCAATACAGCTATCAAGATGTCACTTCAGTACAAAAAAAAATGGAGGTCCAAATTTAAGCTGGACTTAAGCATTTTCTGCTGTGCCCTCTGCCATCACCCGGTGCACTGACACAAAATGATCAAAGGCAGATTTGATGATGAAACGCAAGTAAGTGGCCTGGAATTCAGGAAGCTGCAGAAGGAATAAAAAAATGTTATTGCATTCTCTGTAGTAACAAAACTACCAAACATTTGCAGAAGTTTGTTAGACAGAAGGATCTAGACACTTCCATGCCTGTCTTCCAATTGCACATAAATCAAGCTCTTTAACAACATCTAGCCAGCTTCAGAGTTTCTTCAGATGACAGCAATTCAAAAAACCCTCATCACTCCTGAATTCTACAGCCTTTTAAAGGCAACAATTGAAGGAAGGAAGATTGCCACACTTCTGGAAAGGGCCCTCCACATAGTTAGGAGCAGTAGGCAGGTGCAATTTCATACCATAATCTACAAAGGAGCAGCTGGGAAACGCAATTTCATACCTTGATCTACAAATTCCTCTAAAACCAACCAAATAAATAATTGTGAATAAAGACATTTGTTTTTTTTATAGATTCTCCCCACTTAGTCCAGACATCCCATTTCATGAACCACTACTGATGTACACCATAAATACTCACTGGAAATTCTTCCATTTGGAGCTGTCCTTCTGTGTGTTGCAAATCTAGAAAACATATTTTAAAGCAGATAATGAAGAATAATGTGAAATGCTGTGAAAAGTTTTCACTGCACTCAGAGTTCAAGTGAATTTAACGACTATGAATTTACACTGCGTATAGAAATAGTTCTTTTTTATTTTTACAAGGTGATTTAAGAGAACAAATACTTTTTTGCAACATCCCAGTGTGTATATATATCCTACTCATTACGCTGGGTTATAAAATGTCACTCAAGAGGCACTAAAAACCCCAAACAATGCAGGAAATGGCACTCTATTATACTATGTAAGCCTGTTTTTAATTTTTGGAACATAAAGTGCACAAGTAGTGCTTTTAGCCCTTATACAGCATTTTATTTTCCAAACAGCTACAGACACCAGCAGTGTTCATAAAATTCACTTAAACATGACTATTACATTAATGTCGAATAAAATAATCATCAAGCTACACTTTACTCAGCAAATAGATGTGAGGTTAAAATAATTGAAAAAGACCAACATTATTCCCACAAAATCCGTTTCTTCAGAGTCTTACCTTTTTCAATGCACTGTTCAAAACCCACGGGGTCTTTAGATACACTTCTTTCAATCCTTAAGGTCCGCACTAAAACACATATAAATTTGAGATATCAAAACAAGTTCTGATTCCTTATTGATAATGATATTTATTCCATCACTTTTCATCCACAAAGCACTTCAAAAGCATTAACTAATCCATTCTTCATCTAACCTATGGAGGGCTTGGACGTGACAGACGATTCCTTTGTGAAGTTAAATCTTAATGGATCTGTTAAAAAGTGGCTACTTACAGATCATGACACTACTGTGATAATTTTCATAAAGGCACAGACACACATTTTAATATAGCACATATTACCTACTGCAAGACACAAAGTCTTACCCAAATAACACTGGATCGCGACTTTGCTGATTTTCACACATTTGGGAAAACCAATAATGAATTCCTGTGGGAACATGCCTGTCGTCGTCCAAAATGTTTCAGAATTTCTGTGGAGACAGCGGGACAAAACCCTCACCTGCACCTTTCTATCTATAACCATCTTGAAAGAAATTTATCATAGAAAAATATGGAGGGGAAGGAAAGGGGGAAAGAGGAAAAACAAGGGGGAAAAGCAAAAGGAAAGGGGGGAAAACAAAGCAAAAGCAAGGAGGGGGGGAAGCAAAAGGAAAG